CAAAAAAAAAATCAGAGTGGGCAGACATACAACCTCGCGGTCAATTTAGCACACTGTGCTTTGAGCGTTCTCGCTAAAAATCAGTCGGTTTATAAACTATTTGCTCCACCAAATAAATTAATTTTTTTTTTAAATTCTAATACACGGTCGTTTAGATATTAGTAAAAAGCGCTATGTTTAGGTACGCATGCGTAAGAAAATACGAAAAACTTTTGAACTTTTAAAATGGCTACGGTTCTTAACTACAGAGAATATTTTATATGGCAACAGTTTATTTGTTAATTAATTTCTGAAAAGCCAATGATATAGCCTTATTTTTAACGTAAATCAATAAAATAATACAAAAATTTCACAAAAATATAAATAAATGAAGGTAACAAAAATCTTTGCGCGCTAAAACTGTGTTTTTACTTAATACTTTTTTAGTGTAAATCATAGATTTGTTTATTTATTTGAAATCAATTTTCTAAAAATCTGACTGCAGGATTTCAATAATTTTTTTTTTAAACTTCAGATAAATATGTTCTATATGTACGATATTTTTCTGGTCATTGCTTCAACTTTTTTTCCATATAAAAATTTGTTTTTACTGTTATGACTATTTCCTTATATATCTGACTTATATATATGACTATTTCCTTATATACTGTTATGACTATTTTCTTATATAAGTGCAATTTCATTATTTATTTTGTTATTTACTATTTTTCTGACTATATATATATATATATATATATATATATATATATATATATATATATATATATATATATATATATATATATATATATATATATATATATATATATATATATATATATATATATATATATATATATATATATATATATATATATATATATATAGTAACAAAAATAATAAAGTAAAAAAACACTTCAATATAATAGGAAAAAGTCATAACAGTAAAAGTAAGTTTTTATATTGAAATAAAGTTGAAGCAATAGCAAGAAAAAGATTATCAATATAAAACATATTTATCTAAAGTTAAAAAAATGTATTTTATGTATTTTATATAACAAAAAACAATTGGTTTTTAAAAATTTTTGAAAAAAAAAATATTTTGATGAACTTATTATGTTTTATTTGAGTGTATCATGTTGGGTCTTAAATGAAGCAAGATTATATGAAAATTCCTATGTTAGATTTAACACCATAAAAAATGAATTTTATTAACTGAAAAAGAAAAATTTATACCAATTTTTGGCAATATTTTATTCATATTTGAAATTTTCATGATTTCGCTTATTTTGAGCGGAAATGTCAAGATACGCTTTTGAAGATTTTTTTAATTGATAATAATAGGAACTCTTTATATGTTTAAGGGACTCCGAAAATGATTTTTCTTCAAAAAAAAATTTTATCATATAAAATACATTAGGAAGTGGCAGCTATATATATATTTTTTAAATATAGTTGCCAAAAATAAAAAAAAAAATCTTAATAACAAATAAGCTGATAGTAATACAGTGCAATAACGGTTCCAATAGTATGTTGAATTAAATATTTAAAAAGGCACATATTTTTTTGTGATATATATTTTTATATATATATATATAACAAAATAAAAAACGAAATTGTTTTGCTATTTATTTCTTCTGCACTATGTATGGTGTTGCAGAAATAAAAAACATAATAATTCCAAAATTTTTTCCATAAAATTTCACATGCTCATATGTCTAAAAGGTTTTGTTTGATTTCTGGCTCTTAATGTTATATTCCAATCATAGCATTTGTGATCTCCCAGAAGCATCATTTTCATCAATTGTCGTTCATAAATAAGAGTTGCTAATTTTTAAAATAGTTTCAATACAAGATTTGCACAATTCTTTAACATAAGTTGTGCAAATAATAGTTGCAGATAAAATTTTTGCTCTGTATACTTTAGTAAAAAATCTATAATAATTATCTCACTAAAGAATTATACAAATAATGATCAATCTGCAAATATATAATATAGAACTACTTTTAGAACTGTTTCCTTCATTAGTTCATGTGTTGAAGATGTTCCTGACTTAACGCCATTCCTTTCGAAAAGTTATTTATATTTTGCCCTTTGCAGTTTTTGTTTAACTGTAAATAAGTAAGTCAGATAAATCAAATCAATATTAACATAATTAAAAACTAAAATTTTTAAAAAAAAAATTATCCTACAAGTAAAATTGCATAGAGATTATTATTAGATGAAAATATTTTATTATACATTGTACTTAAGTTTGTTGAATATTGCAACAAAAAAGTAAAAAATGCAGTTAAAAAGAATACTCTTATTAGCATTTTCTTTTATTTTTTTAAGTATAAGTATCCAAATATACGCATTTAAACAGTTTATATATGCAAATATATACACTTATACATTTAAAAAATGCATACTTGAATTATAACAAGCAGGTCTTTAATAATTTATTTTTTTATATTATTTGCAAAGAATTTTACTGTGAATATTTGCATATTTCAGGTAACAAAAGCATATATATATATACTATATATATTATACATACATATATATATATATATATATATATTATATATATATATATATATTTTATATATATATATATATATATATATATATATATATATATATATATATATATATATATATATATATATATATATATATATATATATATATATTATATATATATATATATAATATATATATATTTTTTTTTTTTTTTTTTTTTTTTTTTTTTTTTTTTTTTTAGTTTACAATGTTAGTCGTGATACAATAATACAAGTCGTGATATATAATAATATAAGTCTGATACATATATAATAATATAAGTCGTGATATGTAATAATATAAGTCTGATACATAAAAATAATTAAGACTTCTACAAGAAAAGAAAAGAAAAAAGAAAAAAAATGAGTATATATATATATATATATATGTATATACAATTCAGCGTACTAACAATATAAGACTAGGTTTCCGAAAGAAGATCAGAAGGATCTTATCACCGGAACCTTAAAAAAGACATAATGCAAAGATTTAACATAATGCAAATATGCAATATACTAATACAATATAACATAATGCAAATATACAATATACTAACATTTTAATACTCAATATGCTGAAGATTTGAAAAATACATTTTACATAAATTTTTAGTAGAATTTTAGAATGTTGTCCATACAGAGAATGAAGTTTTTTAATTTAGTTTTAAAAACAGGAAGAGTAGTAGAAGGGTCAAAATTTGGTAATACTATTTTATTCCAAAGATGGGATGCACGATATGCAATACAGAATTGATTGAACTTCGTTTTACAAAATGGTTCATTTAGAAAACTATTACTTCTTAATGTGTATTTATTTATTGGTTTTAAAGAAAAAAGGTCATTGAAAACAAATAAAGATAAATCGTTTTTCCACATAAAAGTAAAACATAAAACATTAAATATGTTAAGTTTATAAACATCTAGTACATTCATATAATCAAAAAAATATTTCGAACGTGAAAAGCGATCCGCATAATTAACTACACGGATTGCATGTTTCTGACGGCGATAAAGATGTTGTAATTTACTTTTCTCCGTACTTCCCCAGGCTATGATTGCATAATTTATATAATTATGTATAAATGAATAATAGAGCTGGGTTAAGTTTTTTTTGTTTAGATAATTTCGAGCTTTGTATAAAATGCCAATATTTTTAGAAACTTTGGTGCTTATATGATCAATATGCTTTCTCCAAGTAATATTTTCATCAAGATAAACACCTAAGAATTTTATAACAGTATCTCTTTTTATTATAGTTTCATCAATGTAAATTTGAGGCATATTATTTGTTAAAAATCGTTTTTTTGCGCAGGAGTGAAAAATAATCCATTTTGTTTTGTTAATATTTAAAGTTAATTTATTAGCTTTGAACCATATATATATATATATATATATATATATATATATATATATATATATATATATATATATATATATATATATATATATATACATATAAAATAAGAAAATCGATTTCAAATAAATAAACAAATTTATGAGTTACACTAAAAAGTTGTTAATTGAAAATAAAGTTTAAGCACTCTAAGATTTTTTTTATCCTTTTTTTAAATATATTTTTGTGAAAATTTTGTAATAATATACTGATCTACATAAAAATAAGGCTACAACATTGAGTTTTTAGAAACCAAATAACAAATAACACGGTTGCCTCTGTAGTTAAGAACCGTAGCCATTTTAAAAGTTCATATTTTCTCACGCATGCGTACCTAAACATAGCGCTTGTAAACGACCGTGAATAGTTAATAAACAATAATAGTTATAACGTATAATAGTTATAAAAACGAAAAAAATAAACCTATATGTTTTTTTTTTAATTCTAAAAAGTTATTTTTTTTAATTTAAAAAAATATTCAGAGTCGACGACACGGGAGGGGGATGGGGCACTGGTTCCTCCACTTTTTTAAAAAAAAATAAAATAAAATTCTAGATATAAAGGACTTTTTTTAGAAATTGACGATTGTATCCTTCCACTAAAAAATCCGTGTCGTCGGCCTATTTCTACCTAGTGAAACGTAGAGGCTGAGGCGTAGCTGAGAATAAAATCTTTATTCGTCTATGTGCACACCGTTTTACCATTGCAAACTATTGCAATACAAACGCAGCTATTTAAAAATATTACTACAAGTAATTATAAAGAACAAACAAAAAAAAAAATTAAAAAAAAAATAAAAACTTATTTTGCTAAATGTTGTTATATAAAGGGTATAATAAATTATATAAAGGGTTTACTAACTTTTAAACTCATCTTTTTCAAATATTCGCGCAAGGAAATACAACAGCTTTAAATAAAAAACACCATGATAATTATTCTATATCATAATTATTCTATATCATAATTATTCCATCATAATTTTAATTTATAAATACTAAAATAAATACTATATTTTAATTTCTCTATAAAATCATTATAAAAAAGCTTTTTATTATAGTTTCATAACCATATTTAAAGAAATAAGGTAATCACCTGACTATAATGTTAGATAATGTAGTTTTGAAACAAACTTTTAGAAATTTACATGAAAAACCCCCTGAAAATTAAAATCAAAACCAGCAATATATCATTTAGATATGTCAAAAAAATACCTAAATAAAATAAAATTATTGACTCTTAGATGTTTTAGGAATGTGTTTATTTTTTGGTATAAATACTGGCAATATTATAAAAAATAACATAAAAGCATGTCCAATGAAGTACATTCTTCTCCATACGCTCCAGATCGATTCTAACTTTAATAACATAAATGCAACTCCAAGATACTCAAACGATCTGTATAAACAGAAACATGTTATCCAATCCCAATAATACTTTTGAGAATCCGTCAAATATGGCTTAATTGAGTTTGACATGCGTGTTTCAGCAATCACAACAAAAGCAACAGATATGAAAGTAAAGTAATACCCCGGATAAACGCCGTGCCAAAAAGCGCTTACAAATAACAGCACAAACATCCTAAAATGATTTATATATCACTAAACAAAATTAATACAAATATTATTTTAACTATAAATAAAATAAAACAATTAGAAACCATCTTTTTTTTAATCTTATAATACCCTTATTAGAAGCCAAGCCAGAACCAAATCAAAAAAGAACCATAAAAAAAATCAAGCCAATAAAAACAACTTTTATGTATTTTTAATTATGCTTTTATTAATGGTACTATTACTTATTTATTTTAATTTTTACTTTTAATCTCTAAATGATGTAATTTCTTTATCCCCAAATAATAATGGCGTCTTAGTTAACTTATATTGCTCAAATATTGGTTTTGATGTCAAAGTTGTTAAGATTACAGAAAAAAGGATTTTAAACAAATAAAAGCAAAATGTTCAAAACAGTAAGAATAATAAGACTAAGCATAATTTTAATACTTAAACTTGTCTGGTAGTTAAAACTTATATGTGATCCATTACTGTCTATGAATGTTTTCCAACATGTATGCAAAGAACGGATGCCTTGTGAATAGAACTATTTAGGCTTGGAGGCAAAAAAGTTACTCGGGCATGTTTTGAATTGGGTTTTCTTTTTTCAAAATTTTTACCATGTACATTGTTGCTCAACAAATGAATCAAGTAATAATCCGTTGGGGCTTAGTCAGGTGTATACAGGGTCAGTTAATCTCACATTTAAATTCCAATATTATTTGCTGAATTGATTTTGCAACATGTGGTTGAGCATTATCATGGGAAAAAAAACATTGTGTTGCTCTGGATGATCAGTTGATCGTCCAGAGTAACATAGTTTTTGCACCCAAGAGTACTCATCAAGAAGAGTGAAGTTTGCTGTGGTTTAATCTCAATTAGCTCTTTTAATGGTCCAGATCGAACTCCAAAGAATGTTTGGGCCTAGGTTCTAACTTATAGTTATCTTCATTAAAATTTTAAAACCAATTTGATGTTGTAGAGTAGGACCTAGAGGTCGGAGGTGATTGCACAGCTAATATTTTGAACTTTTTGTTTTGAATTGTACAATATTTTCAGTCATGGTAGCCATTAACACACAAGTGGATTTATATAGACTTGTTTACTCATAGACCATTGTCTTATTATTTGCTAAGGATGACTAGAGTGTGAGTTATAGCTCTCCTGCTCTCTAAGTAAAATTTCATTCCTCCTATTAAATAGTCTTTACATTCATTTGTGATTCTTACTCATTTGGTCCCATTTGGTACTCATATAGTAGAAAACGCCTAATAATGCTTTTAGATTTCTGAATATTTTGAGATTTCGAAAAAAAAATTTACTGTATTAAAAAAAAAAATTTAATAAAGAGAAAAAAATATTTTTTCACATACAAAAGGATCCTATTTGCACATGTATTATAAACATATTCTGAATGATACCTTAATTGTGACGATTTAAAAGTGAGTTTCTGATAAACATAGTTCGCCATCCACCATTGAACTGTCATATTCCAAACTTTCATTGCCGAACGCATCGTTGGAGCAAACTCAACATCATAAATAGAAATGTTATGGATAGTTTCAAAACTGAAATAAACAAAAATCTCATAAACGTGCAAGATTTTTATTTTTTCATAGTAATATGGACATAATTTGTCCATAATAATTCATATTTTTTAAAATAACAAATAATACTTGCTAATAAAAATAATCAATATTGGTAAAAACAGTATACAAAGAATGCAGAAATTTATTTGATTAAAAAATATTTTGCTATTTAAAAATATATCTCTGCAGTAACAGTATTCAGCTTTAAAAAATATATATTCATGGTAACAGTATGCAGCTTTAAAAATATATACCCATGGTAACAGATTTAAAAAATACATCATGCAAATTGCTAGAACAATAATTTTAAAACTTAACAATTCAAATCAAGTTCACTTAAAAATTAAACATTAAAAATACCTGTGAGTATCACTATAATCATTCTGTTCCCTTATCAAGGTTTCTTCATTATTCTGAGTTGGCACAGTGGTTGGACCCAAACCTGGTTTTGCTTTACACTCAAATGGATATGCTCCTAACCCACTGGTCATACACATGCTCTCAGCTAACAACCAACCAATGTAAAATCTCCAACGAAACCATGTAAATGTTGGCACTAATACCAATACTATGTGCAACACTCCCCAGCGATGATTCAAGCATTCAGCACTTTCAAGATAACTCAAGGGAAAATATTCTATCAGAAGCAAATATGGTAAAACCAAAAAAAGTAGTTGTTTTAAGTTTTTAACTGCTGGCCAGACAGTAGAAACTTTTGAACCATCTTGATGTAACATATCACTGAATGTTTTAAAAGTATAAAAAGGGCCTGTCATCAGTCCAATATAACAATACCCATATGTGAATATATCAAACAATGTGAAGTCAAATTTTTTATCATCTTTTTTTTCTTCTGATATTTTTTTACTTACATAATCATGGTATTCAAACGAGTAACTCACCATCTGAAAAAAAAACAACTAATAAATAATAACTAATTATCAAAATTTATAACAGTAAATTTCATTACTTTTTATTGAACTAGTCTCATAATATAAGAAAACATGGAAAAGTGTAAAATAAGATTTAAAACTATTATATTCAAATTTTAATTTTTTATTAAATATGTTGTTTTTATACAAAAAAAAAATAATAATAATTTATGCAAATTTTGATCGTTTTTAACAATCTTATGTCATCTTTGTCATAACATCATAACTCTTTAGTAATAAGTCCCATATATGTTGTCACAAAACCACTAACCCCCTCTCCCCAAGCGTGACCCAATGCATTGACAACCCTTACTAATACTTCATACTAAGTATTTCATCAAAATGCTGTCAAAAGGTGTTTGATAAAAATGCATTTTAAATAAGTCATTTTAAATTCTCTTATTAATATGAAATTGATAATTTTATTCTATTACAATTAAATATTTACACGAATTTAATTATTATTAAATTAATAGAATGGGATTATATATATATATATATATATATATATATATATATATATATATATATATATATATATATATATATATATATATATATATTTCTAAATCTAATATATTTACACGAAGTGTAACAAGTAATTGAAGGGCATTTGATTGACCATCTGGATCAGGCAAACCAAGATAAGAACATATTCGGAAAAAAAATAAGTATCCAAATGTAAATACAAATGATGCTATTCGACAATACCTAAACAAAATCATTTAAAATTTCAAATATAACATATATATAATACAAAAAACTTGTAATAATAAACTTACCACTAAGGTACTTTAAACAGCTTAATAAGCTTAATATATACATGTGTAATTGAAAGCAAACAAGATCCTAATGAGCTTAGACACTCAATTTTTTAACTGGTATAATTAAGTAGAAATGAAAAAGCTAAAAGGTTAATTCCCTGCTTCAGGCCCAAAAAACTTTAAATAGAAGAAGGTATACTTGATAAATCTAAACATACCTATACCCAAACCCTTTTATTATAAGATAATTTCCAAATATAGTAACAGCAGAATGCCAGCTGCTTTCAGCAACAAGAAGGAATATAATTAATAAACCACCTCCAAGACACATAAGCTTTTTATTGAAGGCACTACCTGATAGCTTAACAAGATGTCCATAAGGAATACATAAGATTAAAAGAAGCAAATATACAAAATCAATCCAAGACATTTTTAATGCTCAACAATTAAGTGTAGTGTCTTGTGCTAAAAAATAATTTCAAAATTGTTCAATATCTGTTTGCAAATGTTTTACTTATAACGAATAACTCTTTTACCATTAACAATTGATAACCAATAAAAATAGTGCAACAACAATAAAATTTAATAGGTTCTAATCTTAATATAAACATCACTCTCTTTTATTTGTGAGCTTGTATAATTTAGGAAAGATATACCAGCAATATTATTACTATGCACTATGCACATCAACAGGATCAAAATAAATATATAACAGAAAAGCAAAAAAAAAAAAAAAAAAATTATTATATCCAATTTTTATTAATTTAAATTATGCTCTGTCATTTTGCTTTTAAATCAATTTATTATCTATTAAATATTGTGAAATAGTTTTTTTACAACAACGATAGCGAACTAACGCTATAGCGAAATAACGCTAAGAATTAAGTTGATGTTTGAGTAATCAATAAAAACTTCATTTAAATCAAATTAAAAGTAAAATAAATCAATTGGTTTCAAGTAACTATGTAAGAAACTAACTAAAGTAACAATTTTTGCATATAACTTAAGTAACTTATTGTTATAACCAATTTATATTATAACCAACTTGTGGTTATAACTTCAGATTTGTAATACATTTTATGGTTTTAACTTAAGATTTGGTAATTAATGGCTATATCTAATTCAAAGTTATTATCAACATTTTGAAACTGTTATCATCAACTTTATGAATTTATATATAAAAAAAAAAAATGTCATGAACATGATAAATAATAGAAAAAAATACAAAAATCTATGAATACTATTTTTTACAATAAAATTCTTAAATATTGCATAAATATAACCCACAAAAAATAAAAAATTGAGTAAAAAAATATATTTAAAAAATTGCATAAATAATTTACAATGTTACAAAGTTCATGTTCATAACCAAATTCAGCTCAAATTAATAAAAAAATAAATATTGGTGTGTAATATAAATAAACTTCAAAATAAATATTAAGACAAATATTTTAAATGAAATAGTAAATATTAAAACATTTATTTAATCTTTTGATACTTATGTAAAAAAAAATTTCAAATGATACCAACACCCCCCTCCCTCCATATACACACACCTTCATCCCGTTGCAAACAAAAACTTTTTGCATAATAAAAATAATAAAGCATAAAAACAATAAATTGAATAAATAGAAAAACATTCACATAAAAAGCATTTAAAAAAATACATAAAAAGCATTAGAAAATACACAATAAAATGTGTATATATACATATATACATATATCATAAATAAGTTTTAAATATAAAAGAAAAAAAAAATTAAAAACATATTTAAGTATATTTAGGTAAAACTAGTATTTTAAAAAATTGATTTCAAAATGGAAAGTTATTAGAGACAATTAAACTTTTTTTTTTTAATTTTACGTCAAGTCAAACACTTAACAGCATAATAACATTTTTCTATTAAAGAAACTAAAATAATCTTTATCAAGTAAAAACATTTTCAAAAACTTCTTAAATAAATTAATGCAAAAACTTTTTGAAAAGAATTTTAAAACAATTTAAACAATAGATGCAACTATGTTTAAAAATACCATGGAAACAAGACCCCAATAATACATCGCTTCCCAAATTTTTAAACTAATGTCAAAAGTCAAATAATGAAAAGGTACAAACATAAACGCAGTTGCACTATATACATACACTTGCTTAAATGTTAGCCATAAAATCTTTTGGAAATCTGTTCTAATGTATTTGCTTATTGAGTGACTCAATCGAACATCAGTTACAATGGCAAATACATAACAAATACCGGTTAAGTAATATCCACTGTAAATGCCATGCCAGTAGCAACTTACAAAAAATGAAACAGCAATCCTAAAAATTAAGGCAAACCAATTTAATACATTACTAAAATAAAATAACATTTATAATATTATACAATAAAATTTATTTACAATTAATAATATACAATAAAATTTATTTACAAAAAAAAAAAAAAAAAAAAAAAAAAAAAAAAAAAAAAAAAAAAAAAAGTAGTAGAGACATTATAAATTAGCAGAGACAGCAATAACCTAAAAAAATACTAAAACTGTTAAAACATGTTATAACATGTAATAATCCAAATTATAGTTAATTACAGTTATATAGTTAACATGTAGTAAAATATTTTTAATTTTGAAAATTAAAAAAACTTTAAAATCAACAGACTAAAATGTAGTTTAAACTATTTTATTTAAAATATTTTACTTTAGTTATTACTTTATTTTTATTTATCTCCATAATTAAAATTCAGATATAATAATAAAATATATCACCACATTTTATTTCTTTATATCTCAAACATGATAACCTTTAAAAAGTAAACAAACAACTTTAAGGAAACTTAAAACAACTTTACCATTTAAATGTTAGGATTAAATATCTTAAGAGAACACAAGTATAATAAAAAAGAGGAAAACAAAACTTTTAAAAAAACAACTTGAATAAACAACAAAATAATAATAGATTAGATGAAGAGCTTTTTGAATTGTACAAGTGATGCTTCCATACTAATAGACAATGATAATAGTGTAATTTGAAATTAGGAAATGTTGATGAGAAAAATCAAGCAGATTAAATGAAAGAGTAAATTTAAATATGAATTTAATAGAAAGTTTTCCTTTTTTTTATAAATTTAAACATAAAAATTTGGCATATTTTAACTTTTATATAATTTTATAGAATAACATTCTATTTTTTCTTTTTAAAGAATTTTTTATAGAGTAAATCTTAAAGATTAAATTTTAAATAAATAATTAAATTATCAATTTTATTGATAATTTAAAAAATATGACAATACGATGTATAGTAAAAAATTGATTAGTATAAGTGTAGATAAAAGTTAAGTTTAGCATAAGATGTATTGTATGAGATATAAGTATAAATATATAATTATTATCTCCATAATAAGTATGAGATATAAGTATAAATAGTATAAAGACTAAAAGTTATATAAGTATTAAAAGTATGACAATCTCATATTTAAAAATATGACAATATCATATTTAAAAGTATGACAATATCCAGGGTGTTACCCAGCCTGATGGCACCACATATAAATGTAACTCCCAGCAAAAATAGAAAATTCATTTTGATTAAAATTTAATTTCAGAATATAAGAACCTTTTTTTTTTTTTTTTTTTATAGCCGCACCTAAATTCCTAATTTCGCAAAAATGCTGTATAAAATTTTTTCCTGGGTAACACCCTGATATCATATTTAAAAGTATTACAATATGTTAAGATATTTAAAAAAAGTAAACAATAAAAAGAACTAATTCATTTAATAAACTTACTTCAGTGCACGAGAATGAAAAGGCAAACGTTTGTAAACATACTCTTTCATCCACCACTGAATGGTCATGTTCCAGTTTCTCAATGCTGCTTGGAAGGAAGTTGAAAATTCAACACCACTAATGCTGATATTGCAAATTGTGTCAAAGCTAAAAAAAAATATTTAATCCATTTCAAAAAATAACTATTATTATGACAACATAGCTGCCACAACTGTGTATATATATACCATGACTGTGTGTGTGTGTGTGTATACATACATACATACATACATACATACATACATACATACATACATACATACATACATACATACATACATACATACATACATACATACATACATACACACACACAAGCATACACATATATATATTTATTATACATACAACAGAATGATAATAACAACAATGCTACTAATAATAATAATAATAATAATAATATAATACTAGCAACGATAATAAGATAAACAATAAAATTAATTAAAAAACAATTATAAAAATCACTTTGAAATCTGATTAAATTTTTTTTTTTTTTAAATTCAATGAAAATTTTCTAAAAATTTTTTGAGATAATAAATTATAACAAAATTTTGAAATAATTATAAAAAGAGTTAAGTAAAGCAATTATTTTAAAATTTTCTTTTCAATTCATTAAAAAAAAATTTATTGAATGTTTTGTAATATGAAAAGTCTAGTCTAGAACATTGAAATTTATTAATTATACATCTTCAAAAAAAGTTTTCAAGTTTAATAAAAAACCTGAATGAGTAACATCTGTCATCTGTTTTTGAAGTTTTTGAATAAAATGACCGACAATATTAATATTTTGTACAAACAAAAATATTAAAAAGTAAAAATGACAATAAAGAAATGCACAAAAACATTGAAATATAAACAAGGCTAACTTGTAACTATCAGCTGAATGAATTGATAAATTTCTTGAATCAATAATTTCTCCAGTTGGCCCAACACCTGGTTTACAAACTAAATGTTTAGGATATCCACCCAACCCACAAGATATGCACATTGATTCTGCTAAAAGCCAACCGATGTAGAACCGCCAGCGGAACCACATAAAAGTAACAACAGAGATAAACGCAATATAAAGAAAACCATGTTTTAGGCATTCATCATTTTCTAAATAATTTGCTGGGAAGTAACTGTTCAAAAAAAGATAAATTGCAACTATTATAGGCAAGTATTTTAGGTTCATAATTGTTGGCCACACAGTGTTTATCTTATTACCATCTTGCTTTAACATGTCTGTGAATGTTTTATAAGTGTAAAAAGGACCAGTCATTAATCCAATGTAACAGTAACCATATGTAAAAACATCTAAAGCAGAGATACAAGTTTTATGTCTTTCTTCCTTTTTCTCAATTTTAATTAAACTATCATGATGTTCGAATGCAAAACTGATCATCTGAAAAAAAAATTAGAAAAAGTGTATGAAAGAGGCTGATATTATTGATTGTTGCTGATTTGGAAGTTTATAGACTGCAAAACTGTTGATAACTCATTTATTTATTTATTTTTAATTTTGGCAATAAGTATTTTTATCCTGTATTTGTATTACCTGGATTAACATTTTATAAATAATATTTCAAACATAATAGTTGTGAGTGTCTTATGAGTGAACTTTGCTATTTTTGTTGCAGTAAATTTATTGTTCATTTTATATATATATAATAATAATTTATATAATGTATGTTTAAATTATATATAAATTTATATATATATATATATATATATATATATATATATATATATATATATATATATATATATATACATATATATATATATATATATATATATATATATATACATATATATATACATATATATATACATATATATATACATATATATATATATATATATATATATATATATATATATATATATATATATATATATATATATATATATATATATATATATATATATATATATATATATACATATATATATATATATATATATATATATATATATATATATATAAGGGTAGATTTAAAAAGAGACTTGAAATTGTTTTCTAATAGCTCTAAATATATATGATATAATAAAATATCACTGGATTAACAAAAAATTTGGAAAAAAAAATATTTTTAGAGGTGCCCCAAGTCCCTTTATAAAGAACATTTATAGGGTCCCTAATATTCTGGGGGAAAAAAAATTCTTCAAAAGTAGGTCAATCTGGTACTCAAAAGAAGTGAAATATTATAAAAAGTTTGAAAATAATAACTGTTTTTATAAAAAAACATATCGAAAAAATATATACCAAAAAACTTGTAAAAATGGACTTTTAATTTTTAGTTAAAAAACCATAGTTAATATGCAATAAAAGTCTAAATAATAATTTTTAAATGAAATAAATATTAGTTTTGAACTTTTTATAAAATTTTGCTCCTTTTGAATACCAAGTTTACCTAGTTTTGCAGAACTTTTTTATTTTTTAGGGACCATGTAAATGTTTAATTGACTTGGGGCACCTCTAAAAAAAATTTTTATTCCAAAATTTTTTTAAATCCAGTTATAATTTATTATATCGCATATATTTAAAGCTATTATTTAATATAAATTTCTTTTTTTCAATGCATCCTAATATATATATATATATATATATATATATATATATATATATATATATATATATATATATATATATATATATATATATATATTATTTTGTTTGTTTGTCTCATTTTTATAAGTTATTAAAGTTTTAAATATTATTTGAACATCCATTTTATTCTTCTAGATATTTTTCTTACTTGAACAATTTACTTGAACAGAATGAATTTTAAAAGTTATAAGTGCGTTATAAAAGTAATAACACTGTTATAGTGTTTTTACTTTTGTAATGCAGTTAGTTACTAAAATGTTATTCCTTTTGTAATTGTAAGTTTATTGTTTTATTTTTTATTTTTTCGCTTACAAATTTAAGTTGATTCTCTCCATAAAAACAAGGAACACGGTTTTGTACAAACTAAAATTTTGAATACTAGATATTTTTCCAGATTTTGCGTTTCGCATTCGCTTAATTCAACCTTTGTTGTTACATTAAAATTATACAAATAAATTTTACAAACACATTGGAATTTGTATTATTGCTATCCTTTAAAAAAAAAAGTTTAGAAAAAGAAAATCATTCTTTTTATTGTAGACTTCAAACTGTTTTTTCTTGCTTTGCCTTATCTAATTTTGTTGCTGAATGTAACAACCACTCTAAAGAAACAAAAATAAAAACAGTACACAAAAAAAGTGTTTAGTTTTTATGACCCTACAAAGTTTACAGCCCTCTTAATTTGAGGGGGGGGGGGGTTTAAACTTTACATGGTCATAATTTTCAAAAAATAAGAGATTATTGCATGAAATTTGAAATTTGTTGATGAATATAAACTTAGATAAAAATACTAAAGAAATTATTTTATAAACTTGTTGCTCTCATGTTAAGGGCTGGGTGGGCCCAAAAATTGGGGCAATTTTGTCCCCAAGTTCCAATCACCGCAACTCTTTGCAAAATATTCTCATTTGACATAAGCATGAACATACAAAAGTTTGGAGTTTGCACAATGCCTGTAAGTGTCAAAACTCAAACATCTAAAAATCCAGTGTACACCACTGTATATATATATATATATATATATATATATATATATATATATATATATATATATATATATATATAAATATAATTTAATAAGTTTTAATGAAACATTTTCCTAAACACGCTGCATTCTAAAGTAATTAAGTGCAATTTTAAAAGAGCTCAACATGTCGACCTAATCAGTCTTCTCCGCTTAAAATTACCGCCAGTGCACAGAAAAGCACTGGTCTGACAATAATTATTTGTCTGGCATGCGCAATCTTAAAAAATATTTGTTTTTGTACCTCTTTAATTAGAATTTTATTAAGAAAAAAGATTTGTTGTAATTTAAAAACACGCTTGAAATTTTTTAGCGAGCGCTTAAAAAAGCGCCAGCCGTAGTATTGGCAAGGGTGTAGACGAGCGCAAAACTGCAAGAGTATTTAAAATATTTGAAAATATTGATTTTACTAATTACATTTTAAATACTTGTTTTTTTGTATGATTTACTTATCAACATTTTCACTTATCAAACAACTTTACAATTTACACACCGGGAGAAATTTATTCGCATATGTTAAGATTGTAATGATGTTAATGTGCTTAGCTAATTAGCCCTGATAAGCTGTGGATGATATGAAATAAAATTTTGTATTAAAGGGTGGATTCGACATATCTAGCTCCTGGTTTTCCTGGCCTCTTTTGCTTTGTAAATTTGATATAGTCTTGATGAATGGTTGAAATTTTATTTTCTAAGCCTTGAATTTTGAAAAACGTAGTAAAAAAATAGCACGCAATTGCCATTTATGTTAGAGAAGCTTATGTTAAATGTTTACACAATCAATAAGGTTAATCTGCGCATCTAAGACAGTAAAAAGATGATTTTCTATTTTAAAGCAGGAAGATGTTTTCATAGAATTCAGACTTTTTCTTTTAAAATAAATAAACGGGGTAAGCGTTCTAATGAGCTTTAAGCATGTGAATAAAGTGTGCATACTTATTTTTTTGCTCTAAAAGCAATGTTTAAAAGAATTGTTTTTCTACCATTTGTTCAAAAAACATTAAGGCAAAAAAATACAGGATAGATAAATAGAAATAGAGGAGGTAAATAGAAATAGAGGAACAAATAAATAGCTGAACAAGTATTTAAATAGAGGTAGATGTAAAGTAAACTCCTCTAGAACCATATATCAGCTATCCTATACAATAAAATTGAACTTAATAGAAGTAGCAGTAGTGCCCTTTTAAGCATGTTTGACAAAGAACATTTTAGCCAAGGTTATGGCGAGAAAGAGTTCCAGCCCGTTTTTTTATAAGAAAATGTGAACGAAAGTGTATGCAAATATCTAACTTATGTAAATATATATAAATTATGTAATGTTAAAACATTTATCAAGTTTTACAGTATTACTTTAACTTGAAAATTGCATTGAAGCTACATCTCTATAATTTTGATCTAGAACATTTATTTTAGTCTTATGAAGTCTTTTGTTTGTTAAATAGTTTTAAAATCTACTTTAGATAAAACGCCTGCGTGGCTGAGTGGTTGGTTTGAAGAGTTTCTGAAGCAAAGTGCTATGGTTTGAATCCTATCGCTGGAACTTTTTTTTTAAAAACATAATAAACACTTTTAAAGTTTCATAGATATCATATAGATAACATATGCAAAAATATACACTGTAACAAATGAAAAGGAAGAGATCTTTAAAAAAGCAAAAAATTTCTAAAAAAAAAAACTTTACTAACTGCATTTTAAATACTTGTTTTTTTACTATTTACTAATCAACATTTTCACTTATTAATTATACTTATTTATTTTAAACAACATTCTAAGCTTTGATTTTAAACACACAGTTATTAAACAATTTTTTTTTTTAAATATGTAATTGCTTATATATTTTTTGATCTGTGTGCTTATTTGCTCTAGTTCTATTTCAAAATATTAAAAGAACTTTAATTGATAGATATCTAACAGTTCTTCAAATTTTTTGAAATAATTATTATAATTTATGAAATAATTATTATAACTTAACCCTTTGAGCACGGGGAGCCACGATCGTGTCTATACCGTCAGAGCACGTAGAGCCACGATCGTGGCTTTAAAAGTGTTCATCAGAACTATGACTTTTTCTACAGAAATACCGCTGTTCATAATTTAAAAACATTTTTTTCTATCTTTTGGTATATTGTTTGTGTATATTTTGTATTAAAGATGATTTTGTATTAAAGTTGTACAAGCAAAGAATATTTAAGTAGCAGTGATGATAGTTTATTTGATGAAGGCACAATATTTTTTATTGAAAAATTGTATACAAAATTATTTAATTTAAATATATCACCAAATCTAAGCATTTGAAGTTTTTATTTTTATGTAGACTCCGGTTCTGATGATGATGCTTGTGTTGATGATATTTTAGATTTGTGGCTTCCTGTTGTAGGAGATGACAATGGCCCTAATGTTTTTGCTTTAACTGGTGTACCAGGACCCAAACATACTATTTCACCAGAGTCAAAACCCATTTACTATGTTGAATTATTTTTCACTATAGAGTTTTTGGAAAAGTTAGTAACTTATACCAACCAGTATGCTGATGCATGGATACAAAGTAACCAACAGCATTTGAGATCTCATCCATTGTCAATAGGTATGGATAAAGCAAGAAAAAAAAAATCTTTTAGAAATAAAGGCATTCCTTGGTGTTGTTATCAATATGGGTCTAATCAAAAAAGCTAGTATTAAACTATATTGGGATATTAGTCATCCTTGTGCTTCCACTCCCTGGTTTGTTACTCACTTTAATCGTGACCGTTTTCAACTTTTACTTAAATTTATTCACTTTACTGATATCTCTATCCCTAATCAACAGCAACTAAATAAGATTTATAAAGTTCAGTATTTAGTTAAACATTTTAACAAAAAAATTTCTCTATTTTTATATTCCTCAAAAAGATATTTCTATAGATGTGAGCATGATTGGTTTCAAGGAAAAGACACCACATCTCTGCCAATATATGCCAAACAAGCATCATTCTCGGTTTGGAATAAAGTTATGGTGTGTTTCAGGCAGCACCAATGGGTATTTATCTCAGTTTGAAATTTACAAGGGAGGAAAAAATCCAGATGAAGCAGCTGTTGCCATGATATGACTTACAACTTGGTTGACTTACAACTTGGTTTTTCGTCTTTTGTGTCAAGCCAACCTCCTCCATCAAGGTTATCACTTAGGTATTGATAACTATTATACTTCTCCACAACTGCTATTGGATCTATATCTATATCAAACCACAGCAACAGGAACAGTGAGAGTAAACAGAAAAGGTCTGCCAGAAATCTGCCTTAAAAAACAAAAGAAGTTTGCCAATAAAGAAAAGGTCCTTTGTTATGTGTAGCATATCAAGATGTTAAAAAAAACCTGTATTACTGTCGACTGTTGCCAAAGCAGATTTTACTGAATTGCGCAACAGAAGAGGTAATTTAGTTATGAAGCCAAACGTTGTTGCCCTTTATAATCGAACCATGGGAGGGGTAGATTTGGCAGTTGCACAGCTTTATGTGTACCTGTCAGAGCGTAAGACAATAAAGTGGACTACAAAAGCTGCCTTTTCTTTATTTGGCAGGGCTATTCTTAACAGCAGGCTTTCACAGGAAGACGTGCGATTTCATGTCTTTATATGACTACGCAAAAAAAATGTTTTAACGATTTGACCACGGCATATTTTTAAAATTTAAAAATGCGCTACAAAAACTTACCTAAACTTATCTGAAAAAAAAAATTAAAAAAATAATAAATATTAACGAAAGAGAAAATTAAAAAAAAAATACTAAGTTAAAGCAAAAACACAAAAAAATAAATATATATATAACGCAACTAAAACAAAACTCATCAAACTAATTTACGCATTAAAAAACCTTTTCAATCTTTGTTTCAACATTTTTATATATTTTTTATTTGTTTAATATGTTCAAAAGTTAAATATTTCTCATAAAAAATACATAGTTATATAATTAAATAAAAAAACATTTTATAAATATTTTTTTTTAAATTAATTAGAAGTGTTTTTTTTTTTACTTCATTAAAAGCGTTTCGATAATATAAAAGCATTTAAGATCAAACTTATTAGATTGTAACGGTTTTTTAAAACTTTTTTTTTAACAAAGTTTTGTTTATCTTTTTAAATGCATTAACTTTAATCATTCTTATATTTAAATTCGTTAAAGAGACTTTCGTAGTAGTAGAATGTCATCGTTTATAAAAACAAAACAATTTTTTATTTTGTATAAGATTTATTTTAGAAATAAACACCTAAACAATTTATATGTTTTAAATTTAAAAAATATATACAACTGTCAATTATATTTAAAAAACAAAACTTTTTTTCAGTAAATTGTTACTTTATTTAAAATCGTTTTGCTAATATAAAAACATTTGTTAAGAAGTTTTGATGTAATTAATTTCACTTTTTTAGAATATTTTTTATCTAGAGTGCTTCTAAAATGTTTTTTGAATTTGCCGCGGTCAAACCGTCATTGCAAAATGTAACTTGCGTGGTCATATAAAGACGTGAAATCGCACGTCTTCCTGTGAAAGCCTGTAACAGCTACTTATTGTAAAAGCTTAACACTATTGAAAGTAAGCCTATGTCTAGAATAAGTTTTATGATGACAATTGTGGAAAGTTTAGCTGGAGGGTATCAACCAGTAAAAGTAGTAACAAAAAGACGAACATCTAGGGAGATGGAAGTGGCAAGAAGTACAATTGTACCATATCCACTTCCTCAACAAACAACGATTAACAATCCTTTATATGGTCATAACCTTGTCAAAATTGGTTCAGGTAAAAAATAAAATGTGTAGCTGGGCACCAAACCCCTGTTCGCACCAGTTGGCAGTGTCAGTCATGTTGTGTTGGACTGTGCCCTGGATGCTTTTCAAATTACTACACAACAGCTATGAATTAAATACATCGCATTTCTTAAATTCTTTTAAAAACTACAAAAAAAAAAAAAAAAAAAAAAAAAATTCAAAATATTTGTTTTTAGATTTTTTTTTTTTAAGTTCAGTTTCTCTGTATGGCGTTTATTTATTACGCGCTCAAAGGGTTAAAGTAAATTATGTTTTTAGTAGGTGTATTAAAAAAAATCAAAATATATATATAAATCAAAGTCATTATCTTCATTATCTATCTGATAAATTATTACCTTTAATTACTCATATTTTAAATGTTATGAATAAATTAGAAAAAATAAACATAATGGTCACAATTAATTTTGGTACAAAAACAAATAATTATGAACCCAATTAAATCTAAATACTGAAAAAAAAATTTTATTAGCACCCTGAGCAGCGCTTTATGCAATTCTATCATAAAATCCTCTAAAAACAAAATCACCATAATGATTTAAGAAGATTGTATAACTAATACCTTATAAAAATAAATGGTAGCAAAGCTTTAACAAAATATCAATTAATTCTGAAATAGTTGTTACATTTCAAGATTGTTTACACATGGTATTATTACTAAAACAAACTCATAAAAAACTGTATTGATCTGCTAAACATTACAAATTATTACTAATAAAGAGAAATGTAAATGTTGTCTAAAAATTATGAAAGGAAAATAAATTGCACAACAAAATCTTAAACCATACATCAATTATAATATACATTAACTTTATACAAGCAGAAAATACCATATATGGTATTACTCATAGCAACTCAAAAAAGTTTAAATTTGTAGACAGATGCATTACCTGAATCTCTAAAAAGACAGTATTTCTAAAGGAAGATGTGGCAGATCTGCTAAACTCTAATGCTCAAGATAAAAATCAAATTCGCCAAAGAATTTTAGTATAAAACCATCAACAAAAAGAAAAAAACAGAAATTATTAATCCACATAAATATTAAAATCTTGATATTTCTAAAAACCTGTTTATAAAAACCATGACATATTACAAAAGAAAATGATTAAAATAAAACTTCTTTCAATGGATAAAACATTTTTTTTGGATAATTTTAAAACAATGAATTATAAAATCCTTATTAAATTAAAAAAATATATTAAAAAAGTCAATTTTATCTTTCTCAAGAAATTCAGTTTAAGAAATGTACACTCTACTGCAGTTAAAATAGAGAGCTATAGGGGCTTTAATACATATATTGATTGACAGCTTGGATTGACACAGATATTATCTAGATATGAAGAACTTTTATTACAGCAAAAGAAAACTCCTTTCTTTTCATTATTCTTATATTTTTTCATCTTTTTCTGAAGAAAAAAATAAACTGTTTGGATTTAAGCTAAAATTTTTAAACTTTGAGCATTCAAAATATGCGAAAGCACTGCCTTCTCCGTTTAGGCAGTGCTTTCGCGCTTAAGTCTTTTTGTGCTTGCCCACACACCTGCAAAAACTATTGACTTTACAATTTTTTATTAATTACGACAAAATAGGCAATAGCAAAAAATAAAATAAAAAAGATATTAAATTATTTAACAAATTTTTCAAATATATTTAAGTTAATAAATAATTTTTAAAGATGTAAACAGTTTAAAATGTTTGCGCTGTTATAAAACCATAAAATTTTATTAAGACATATTTAATGTAAACTTACTCTAATTGTAACCAAAAGTTGAATTGCATTAGAGTGCTGAGGAGGTTTCGGAAAACCAAAATATTCACATGTTCGGAAAAAAAGTAAATATGTAAAAGTAAACAGTACTGATACAGAATGACAGTTTCTAAAAAAAAGTTCAAATTGATTACATAATAGCATTATTATCATCATTTACAAATTGCTCAAAACAATTTATTATTACTACTGCAATTATTATAATTATCACTATATATTATTGTTGAACTTAGCTTTAATAGTAGTATTAATGCTCATTTGTGCCTGTTTGCACGAAACCTGCGGCAGCCATTCAATCTGAGATGATAGCAAGAAAGAGTCTCTCAACACTTTTTAAAAAGAATTTATTATTTTGAGTAATAGCTAAATGTATTTGCAATAAATGTCTTTCCTTACAGATTTTGATTATTTTTAACAATGCTCTAGAAAAACATCAGCAACAGGAAAATTGGTTTGCAGTGTTAATCTTTAATAATTTTACTTTTTTTATCATGTCATAACTTTTTTTTTATTTCAAATATATCTTACAATGCTTTTTCAGCATTTTGCAGAACATACAGAGGGCCCACATCTTATAAGGCACATAAGGTGTGGGCTTAAATTTAGGGCAAAAGCTCTCCCCCCTTTTTTTTTACATATTTTTTTAAATATTTAGTGTGTATCCTGTATAATTAGTATTTTATGTAGTTGGTTAATCTACCAATTGTTAATTGATAATGCAAATTTAGTTTTTTTGCAAACATATACTTTTTTTATATATTTTGCTCTGTTAATATGTATAAATAAATTGATATTCAGTTGATAAACGCATATATTTTCATTGTTTTAGTTGGGTTACTTTTTTTAGATAAATCATATGTTTGTTCAATATAGACATACAATTTAAAACTATTGAAATTATTATGCTTTGCTAATTTATTAATAAATGTGTAAATAAAAATAACTTTAATTTAACAAAGCTATGTCATGGCTTAAGCTATTAATGTGCTAAGTAATTAGTTAAGACTGCACATTAAAGAGACAACTTTCTTTCTTATAGAAAAAAGATTTTACATGTAAATTGTAATTTTCTATAAAACTCAAGGGGCAAGAGTTCTAATAAGCTGCAGATCTAAAAAAAAAAATTATAGAAATTTATCAAAGAAAAAAATTAATCCCCGTCTCCGTTTTTTATGTTTTTGTTATGAAACGTTTAAAGTTTTTTAAAGTTATTTATAATAGAAAAAAAATTTTTATAGCTTTAAAAAGTAAACAATAAATATAGTTTTTTTAAATGTATATAGTTATTTTTTTACCTTTTACAAAAAAATATTGAAGTAAGGATTAAGTATAGAAATGGTCGGTGGGGAATAGATTCCCAAGACCCATATTTTACAGATCATGACAGATAGGTATTATTATTATAATTTTTATTACCATAAAATCTATCTTGATAATTTTTTATTTTTGTGGGAAAACAACTCAATTCTATTTACAAAGTGTTTGTTTACATTTTTTTGTCACTTAATCTGTTTCATTATTATTATTTTTATCATTATTTTTTTGGTACATATATAGAGAGATTTAAATAGGCAGAACATGCAACGAGTGTATATAGTCAGTCAGTCAATGCATGTGCTCAATAATTCCGCTGCAAAAATTATAACTAAATAACATTCACAATGTAAAATGCCAAGGTTCAAGTTGTAAAATGTCATAACAAAGTGGTCACAATTCATAAGATAAAATAAGATTTTATTGTTAACATATACTTATATATATATATATATATATATATATATATATATATATATATATATATATATATATATATATATATATATATATATATATATAAAGTGCTAATTACATCAAAAAATATCCAGGGGTTATTCTAGGCCTTTTTCAACAGCGTAAAACACATTTGAAACAGATTTGGGTGCCACCCAATTTCCAATATATATTACTTGATATAGTTTATATTTTATATATATGCATATATATATAAAATATAAAATATATTAATTTATAACTTTATAAATTAATAAATAAATTCTAAGATGTAATTATAGTATTGTAAAAATGTACAAATTCGGTATTGTTCGAAATGTTAATTACCAAAAATTTATGCTTTTAAAATTTTAATGTTTTTGATTAGTTTTAAATATTGTTTAAATCATAAAAACATGTGAACAAAATAAAAGAAAAGATATTAAAAGATTTTTTGAGTTCATCTAGTTTTTATTATATTTTATCTATATTATTTTATTTATTCATTATACTTATATTTATAATTTATATTGACTTTAAATTACATTTTTTTTCTTTTTTTCATAAATTTATTTTCTAAATAAATTTGCTTTTTAAATAAATTTATTCTAATATGTTCATAAAGAATGCAAATTCAAAAAAATATTAAATCAATTTAAACAAACGTTTTTATATTTAAAAAAATATATTTAAAAAAATATAGCATCAAAGATTGTAAAGATGCAAATTAAATTCAAACATTTAATTTATAGAACTTATATAAAATTCTTTAAACTATAGTAAATTCATCAATTTTAAGTAAATTAAGTAAATTCAAATAATTTATTAAATGCTTAACTTTATATTGTCTCTCCCCTAAAAAGTATACTGACTTGCCCTCTCCCTTAAAAACTTTAATTTTTAGGGGAGAGGGCAAGATTGTGGAAGATCGCCATCATGTGCCATCGAAATTATTTTCGTGGATTACTCCCGGTAATCTTATTTATCTGTTAGATTAGTATTATTATTACCCTGCTGTTAACTGAATTTCTTATTATAATGTTAAATAATAATTGGTTTATTGTCTGATTCTTTTTTGTTATTTATTTAATGAACATATAAATTGACTTACTTAATTAGGACATAAATATACATTAACTAAGGGTTTGGGTTAACAATTTTAATGCCAACTATAACCTTTACCCTAATGTATGTACACTCCCTTCATGTTCTCCCTATTCAAGTCAGTTGATGTAGGCATTCATTCATTTGATTGCAAAATATAACAAATTATCAAAATAAAAATTATTATTGGTATTTATATAAAACTTTTCATTTTGATATTTTATCAAATTAATCTTATTGTATTAAGTTTTAATACAAGGACAAACTACTTAGCCATAATTATATATAATATAAAATACACACAGCTGTATTGCAAGTCTTGTTAGGATGTATAAACAAGATATAAACCATGGCCTATTAGTTTATGGCCTATTATACCATGGCAAAATTTAAGTTATGGTAAGAGTAGAACTAAAATAAAAGTTTCAATCAAAATGTAATTTTAACCAATCAAAATGTAATTTTAACCAATCAAAATGTAATTTTAACCAATCAAAATGTAATTTTAACCAATCAAAATGTAATTTTAACCAATCAAAATGTAATTTTAACCAGAATTACCAGATTAAATAACTTGCAAAATATGAGAAATGATTGGCACATGCACATAAAAAATGATTTTCAATAAAAACTTGCTATAGTCTGCTTCAACTTGCAGCTGATAAAGAAAGCTGTTGTAAAGTTATGCTTCTGCATAACAAAAATTATGTTTTACAATTTCAAAATGTAATGATTGCAATCAGATTGAAAAGTAGTTGTTTTGTAATTGGAAAGCAGACAAAATTTGGAATCCAAAAATTAAAATAAAAAAAGTAAAAAAATAAAATCAACTGATGAAGCCTGCATTATATCATATTTATAGACAAGCTTTACCTATTTAAAATATTTGCTCATTAAAATTTTAAATAGCTAGCTATATTGTTTTAGAAGTAACTAATGGCTTTTAAAAAGGTACGATATTTATTAGGCTTTTATTTGATGGGTTGCTTTCCTAAATTAGATAACTAGAAAATGAATAATTAACACTTTTTTCTGATGTCAATTTTTTAATTTTAAACCTAATTTTCGTTAATCATTAAAAATATAAAAAATACCTTAAAAGAAAACTAACTGATTTCCTTATTTAGAATGGTAGAAAACATTAAATTTACACTTTTGTCAAAGAAAGAAAATATTTTTTAAGCCATTTTATTTATTATATTTAGTCAACACAGTAATACAGTAGTAAATTTGTACATAAATTTTTTACAATAAAACTATGAATGCCACACATTCCAACAATTGGAGACTAAATCACGGCATAAATAGACATTGCAAAGTGAGTAAAAAACATGTGATCTACTAATACCTTTTGAATGGCGCTGGGACTGACTAACTAAAGTAGCTTTTCAGAACAACTTTTGCAACCGCTTGGCTTATCATTCTCCAATATGTGTATATCGTAATGTGTTCATTTGAATTACTAGATTTTCAACTATTTTTAGATTTATTTTTTCCTACTAATTGTTTAATAAGTTCCTCACAAAAACTTTGATAACTGTGAGCATAATGGTCAGTAAACAAAGACTCAAGTACAAAAGTATTATGAACACATATTTCCAATAGGTGGTAAAAGAATCACTATACCATTTACTTAATTTTCTTCCACAATTATAAAACTTTATTTTAACATTACTTTACTAAAAGATGAGATAGAAACCATTGTTTTTGTCTCCAGGTGTCTTTAATGTTTATTTGTAAATTAATAGTTCCTATTCTCCTAGACTTAGTTTATATGTCAAAGAGCACAAAAGGTTAATATTTAACACTAAATAGGATTGAACAATAACTTTTAGAGAGATTTTGATTAGTATATAATAGGCGCACATATGTACGCCATCAGCACAAAAGGGTTAAAGCATTTTTAGAATGTTGTTTATTCCTTAATCTAAGCATTTTCTGAGAAGTAAGCAGTTCTGTCCTTGTATAGTGTCATAAGCATAATAAAAACTCATATTATGTAATGGCATCTGAACTAAGATAATGCATTCCAAATGCATTTCTTAGTTCAGAAATTTAGTGGAGAATATCGTTTTTCAAAGATTTTTTTATTTTTTACTTTAAAAAGAACACATTGATTATAATCTTGTGAAAAAGCAAAATATGTAAACTAATAAAAACCTTGTAATTGGATAAGTTTTAATACAGTCAAATACATTTTTTTTCTAGAGATAAGATACACACAGATAAAATACAAGATAAGATATACCTGGATGTGACCTAATAATATACATACTTATAATATATGGATATGATTTAATCATATTTTGCTTATATTATAGTTTTTTCAATGGAAAACAAAACACTTCAACAAAAAAAAAGAGTATATTTTGGGAAAGAATAATACAAAATGTAAATTTTATTAAAGAATAAATTAAGGCATATTTTCAAGTAAAATTTATTGCATTATTGTTTATCAATGAGTTATTGATAAATATTAATTTATTGTTATTATAACGTTATTGGTTTATACATTAAATATTTTTTTACTTTGTTTTTTTAACTCATTTATTTTGAAATTTTACACAGTTGAAGTTTTTTTTTTGGAAATGTTTTTACAGAATAATATTATTATTGTAATATTATAGCAAATATATAGATATTTTATATCTATGTACAACACCATACTTACTGTGTCTCCTAAATGATGTTGTAAATATAGCTAAATTTAACTTTTTAACTGAAAATAAATAATTAACTTGCCAGATTACCAAAACTTGAATAACTTGCAGCCATTAGGTTACTTGGTGGCTTCAAACTAACCAAGCCTGGTCTGTAAGTTATTGTGTTAAGACTTGAAAGAAATGAAAGTTTTTTATTAAAACTATTTAAATATTTTTTTAATACTAAGCACTTTTTTTTTAAATCAAAGGAATTTATAAATAGAAAGCACACAAACTTTTAATATATAAAAAAAAAAACATTATTAAATTGTTATAGCCAATATGCATACCTATAACCAAATATTTTAAGTATAAAAAAATTGATTGTAATAGTAGAAAATGAATGAACAGCCCCATTAATTCCAACTAACAAAAAAACTATTACTAAACCAGCCATGAGGCATAATATCTTCTTTTTCAAAATACTATTAACTCTTTTTATTAAAAATCCATATTGAATGCTCAACACAAGTATTAATAGGTATATTATATCAAGGGTAGACATGGTAAGATCGTAAATAGCACAGATTTTTTTTATATAAATATTTGTGTCTTTCAGAATACCCAATGCTCAGGACGCGTCCCAGATTTTGCGAACTCGCCGCAAAATGTTTTGCGGTCGATTTGAAGACATGCGCTAAAGTAATATTAAATGAACCTTGTACCTAATGGACCATTTGAGAATCTGAAAAGCCGGACACCACAAATAATTCACGTCTTTGTTGTATATTAATGTTAACTTATTATTATTATTATTTATTCATTATTCAAAATAATGCAATAGTTATAGAATCTTTTGTATTTTTTCAATAGGGTATATCAAAAAAAAACTTTTTTTTGAATTTAAAATTGTAATAGAAGACGAATAAATTGATTTCTGGAATTGAGATTCTCTATACCAGAAATCAATTTTGAAGCAAAAGACCTGCTTGATTGGATAAAATTTGAACTAAATGAACCTCCAATTATCGCTCATATTTCATATAAAAATCTAATTGAAATGTTAATCAAATGTTTATCTTCCAGGTGTGTAGCAATTTCCATACCATACTCAAGGAGTATGGCATGGAAAATGCTATGAAATTTAACCAAAGCTTCAGATAAAGTTAGCGGTTTGGCTAGACGGAGACGGCTTCATTCGTTTTTCCTTCAGGGCAATAAGATTATCCAATTTAGTAGATTCTATATTTTGAGGTATTATTTTGTTGTATAAATAAAGGCCACAGTATACAATTGAAAATCTCGAAAAATTTGTTTTTTTTATGAGCAACGTAAAGTTTCCGGTTTCTCGTGTGATATATCTGTTGGCGTTGGTTTGAAAAAAGTTATTAGTAAAATGAGTTGGGACAAGTCCGAGCTTATATTTGAGCATAAATAAAATAATTTGGTAGATTTTAATTTGATAGATATTTAAAGCATTCAAGTTTTTAAGTAAATGATCGGCATGAATGAATTTATTTTTATTATAAATCAATCTTGATGCGTGTTTTTGGTGTATATATAGAGAACTTAATTTAGATTTATTTGTACTTCCCTAGGCAATATTAGCATATGTTTGGTAACTTTGTATATAAGAAAAATAGAGTATTTTTAGATTCTCCTGGGAAAGTATAGGTTTGACTTTGTAAAGTATACCAATATTTTTTATTATTTTTGTATTTAATGTTTTTATATGGACTTTCCAAGAAATCGTTTCGTCAATCATTATCCCAAGAAATTTAATAGTTTCAGTTCTTTTAATGTTTATGTTATCAATTTTTAATAATAGTAGAATGCTTGGTATTTTATTTTTTTGCTGGTTGGAATGAAGCAATATGTATTTTGTTTTTTCTGTATTTATTGATAATTTATTTACTTTAAACCAAATGTTTAGACTCTCAAGGTGATCGTTTGCAGATTCAAAGAGATTTTCAAAATCGTTTGCAGATTCAAAGAGATAATATGTATATAAATTATATAAGGTACGTACCAGTAATTGACTATGTGCCAGTAGTTGACCATTTAGAAGAAAAATTTTAAAAGGTAAGCTCCACCTATTTACATAACTTTATTTTAAAATAAGTATGTTTGATACTAATTAAAAATTATTATCTGCTTACTGCTATCATTAGTCAGTTATGAGGGTGGTCATATATTGGATTAGAAAATTTAGATAATTTAGTATTTGACCAGGGTGGTCAGTTACTAAGTTATTCCTTCGTTTACCTTAACTCATCGCAACATCCATACTTCATGCTTTTTTAGCAAACTTCACTTGTTTTTTATATTCTTAACATAATAAGTTAGGTTTATCTAATAGATAACCAGGTGGTCAAATACTAGAATTATGATGCATCAACTTCTGAATCTATTTTATTTTTGTGTTGTTTTAGATTCATTATGCCTGCCATAAAAGATCATTTTAAAAATAATTAGAGAAAACGATAAAGAAAGTCATCCAAGAAATAATAACACCAGTTCAGGCAGCAGCTAAAAAATATAATTTGTCAAGAATTACTCTAAAATATAAATTGGAACGCAAGTCACCCATTGAGAGAAAAATAAGACCTCAAACCGTCCTAAGCTATGAGGAGGAAATGGTTATTGCTAACTAGATCCTAAAAATGGATTTTTAATTGCGATGAGACCGCCTTTTTTCTTAACCCGAAAGAAACTAAAGTCCTAGCACGAAAGAGAGATAAGACAATATACAAACAGGTTATTATTAATATTTTTTTTGTTTAATTTAGGTGCCCCAAGAAGTCCTCACGGTTTAATCACAGAGCACCGCGGATGAGCATTTAATTGGAAGTTCACGCCTCCTTCCTAACCGATGTCGCATAACTTGCCCAGAGGTGGGGTTTGAACCACGGTTCCTTTGTTTCTGAGGCAATTGCGCTATCGCTGCGCCACGGCTACTAATTCAGATGACAGGGAGTGTCTCACAGTACTGATTACTGGCAATGCCAACGGCAGTTTTGTAACAACATTAGTGATCTAAAAATAGGAGCGGCTGCCTATGGAAATAATGCTAAATTTTTTTTCCAGTTGGGCACTAGGAAAAAGTGATTCCAGGTGAAAAGCCACAGAAGAAAAACCCAAAAGAAAGGATACCCACTATAGTGTCTGGGGAACTTAGCCAATTTTATTTCCAAAAGAAAATTGAAAAAACTAAAGAAAAAGAAACAGTATGATGAGCCTGATTTTCTACTTTAAATCCTGAGCCAAGCGATGGTAAAAAAATCTGAATGGTATAAGTATTCTATAAATGAAGTTTTAACTACGCTGAAAACGGATGACTTTGTAATTGTAGAGTATGAAGGAAGTCATTTTCCGGAAAAATTCGTTCAAATATTGGCTAATGGCTACAAGGCACAATGGTTCAAAGTGGAATTTCTTATTATTATTAGCCAGATAAGAAAGATAGACTTGTATATTTAAGGGAACAAATACAAAGGAAAATCCACCCTACAAACTTGTGTTTTCATTGTGGATCATTCCTTATACCGGAAATGAATGTTTATTCGTCATTTCATATGTAATAAAATTTTTTATTTGTTGACATAAAAGAAATATATATATATAAGTTAAAATGTTGTCTTTGATGTGTCATACCTTATACCAGCAATTAACGCTTACTCAATATTTCATTTTTTTATAAAATGTTGTATTTGTGTTGCATCGTTTAAAAAATATACATTATGTGTTTGGGATGTTATATTAACTGAACTAAAATAAAAAAATTATCATGGCTTTCATTTTTCTTTTGTTTAACATATGGTCAACTATTAAAGCTTAGGACGGTCAAATACTGAGTTTTTTTTTTAGGTGGTCAATTACTAACGCAAAATCATAGTTTTTAAAAACAGCTACTAAAACATGTAAAAAATTGTACTTTGTAAAGAATTGCTTAAAAGTTAAAGCTGTTAGAACTATTAAGACTAATAATCGGCAAACAATCTTAAAGATATGGCAGTCATGCGTCATAACAATCTTAAAGATATGGCAGTCATACGGAATTTTTTCTCTTAAACAGTCAATTACGGGTACTGTTACCTTACATATTAAATTATAAATTTTATCTAGAAAGTTGATTATTTTAATTATTTAGGAGGCTTTACATAAATATGTCAACAACTTTTTTGTGATTTTTACCTCCCCAAGTCAACAACTTGTCAAACTTCCTTTTTCCCAACAATATTATCTCAACATTACTATAACCCTCCTCCTTCACCCCCCCCCCTCCCCCATAAATTTAAAATTAAAAAATAACATATTTTCCCCCCGTTTTTTAAAGTAATTAAATTTGTTTAAAAAGTAATTTATTGACGTCAACATTTCTTGACCTTTCCTCCCCCTTGTTAGCAATTGTAAAAATTGTTTAGACTCGAACCCCCCTCCCCTATTTTGTTGACATAGTTAATAGACATTCCATAGCTTAAAAGAAGCAATTCTATTTCTTAAAACAAGCAATACTCAAATTTGCTCCTATAATTGAGCCTATAAATTCAATTATACGAACAAATTTGATCAGTAATATATACTTTGTCACCTCAACTAAAGACAAAGCTAAATTGTTTGCAAGAACTTCTTATCAATATCATCTTTTAATTCCACTAGTTGCGTTCTACCTGATGTAGCTAAAAAACAGGTTGATCCATTGCCTGACCAACGTATCACTTGAAAAAAATGTCTCTTCTGCTACAGCATTGGGCTCCTGGTGGCTGGTAAACTTTAACTCAGATAAAACTCAATTATTTTTTATTTTTATATGAGCGGTAATATACTCGATGAGTCATCTACCATTCATCTTCTAGGACTTATCTCCTTAACTAAATTTCTAGGACTTATCTCCTTAACTTACTAAATTGGATAATTTTATTGCCTTGAAGGAAAAACTCAAAAATCTCATAAGAACTCTTATATCCGATCTTTCTTGAAAACCATACACTAGCGTGCAAAAGTCTTTGACCGTACTCAATATTGTAGCAAAAATTTTTGCTTATTTATGTAAACGTCTTGAATCCGCGTAAAGCCAAGTTGCCTGAAGTTTGTTTTAATGTAATTAATTTCTTATGTAAATATTATGTAATAATAATATCTATTAAAAAACACAAGTTTTAATACTAGATATATATTGTAGATCAATTTTTTGCGTAACTACTGAATATAATTCTTAATTTTGAGTCTGTTTTGGAAAGTTCTACCTATGTATAAAAGCAAAAGTACGCTCAGTTCAATAAAAGTCTTGAGTTTGATCCACTCTGTTTGTGTCTCTGTTAGTATATTTCGCGTTTAGCATTTAACGTTTTCAATTAAATTTTGAGTAAATTGCATTGTTTAGAATATTTATTTAAAGTACAAGTTTTATTACTGAATATATATTGTAGACCGGTTTTTTTTATGCGTAATTACCAAATATAATTTCTAAATTTTTGCGCATACTAACAACTTGATAATGAGTTTTTTCAGCATGACTTGTGCTAACATGAGTCAAAATAAGAAATAAAGAACAGAATTTTCATTTAAACTACGTGCAAAAATTCAAATGTTATCTAAAGAAGGGTACTCGTGTGATAAAATAGCAAAAAGACTCAAAAAACCTAAGTCAAGTGTCATAAACACGTTAACACGA